CTTTTATTTATAAATTTGTTGTTTTTGTTTTTACTTCATACACTGATTTTTTTTATTTGTATAACCTTTTTCCGGCTGTAAGTCTCTGGTTTTTAATTCAGTTATTTATCAATTTTCTTTATGGATTATAATTAAATTTTCATATTTTCACTGAAAAATATTATATCCAGTTTTCACTTTCACTATTGGCATTTAATTCGTTAAATAAATAATAAAAATCAATTGCATCACAGAGATGAACAAATTGTGAAAAGAAGAAATACAACCACAACAGACGACGAGAAAAATGTGTAAAAAAACACGTTTGACAAAGTGGCCGTTTACACGAAAACTTTTTAGACGAGATTTCTAATTCATTTTTGAGAATCTTCGAAATGTCATTAAGTTTGCATGCCATTTATTAAGTAATTCAAAAGGAACAAATATAGTTGCATAATAAAATAACCACATAAATGTTCACTATCAGCCTGTTTTTCTAAAACAATTTAGTTCTCACACGAACATTTCATTTTATTACGATCAAGTTTAAAATTAGGTTTTTATAAAACATTTGAAAGTTTTCGTTTAAAAATGTCTAAAATGAAATGAGCTTTTTCTATCGTAACAGAACATTATTGCCTACGTATTTCATTTCTGAATTTTTAAATATTTTTTCATGTAGTAATAAGGTGTTTGGTGTTAACCCTAAAAAATAAACAAAAATAAAATAATTTTATAAAAAAATTGAAATTATGAAAAAATGTTTTTTTAAAAACAACATGAAAATTGTATGCAATGTCTCAAGAAATTTAAAGGTTTGTATTGCGAATTACATTCTGGTTCAAATGGCCACATATTATTACGTATTTTGGTAAAATTTTCGTTGTTTTTTGGGCAAACGAAAGGCCTTTGCCTATCGTCTATTTCTGACATTTCTTTCGTTTATTACGAACGAATTCATTTTCTAAAAACCAAAAATATATGGAAAAATAAAGCTCTTTCGTTGTCACTCACATGAAAATTTATTTTTTCGTTACAAAAACGTAAAGCCAATTTCGTTCGTTATTTTTAAGAACGAAGACAAATTTTCATTTTAGAAAAACAAGCTGTATATTTCTTTGGACGATTCTTTAAAGTTGATTAAAACACAAAAGTCTTCTTCTTGAAAATGGCTTCTTTTCAATGCAACAAACAGCAAAGGGAGTTGCCTGATTGTTTGGAGTGATAAATGCCAAACTGTACAGTGCGTGTGAAAAATTACGAAAGTAAGAAATAAATCATATTACTTGTGATATAATGTAAAAGGGGCTTAATGGGTAAAACTATGTATGTATACACGGTTGTCAGATCTTACAACGTTGACAGAAAAAACAACCGTGTGAACATAACATTTTTGTATTGCAAGGTTGTCAGAAAAAGCATTGCCAATATATTGTAAAACAATAATATTGTCAGACATTTTACAATCGTGTGAAAATAATTGTCTAACAATTTTTATTGTCAGATGTGCAATTTTTATGCATCTGACAATGGAACAATGGTAAGACAATTAATTTCTATTGGCAACATGCAAAATCAGAAGGTTCCCAAAAAATATTTCCTGGTGCAAGGCAAACTTTTCCAAACATTACAAAGGGACCTAATTTGGACCCAAGTAAAGTTATACCTGTTTAAGTATACAGTCTGCTGAACCTAAAACCTAAAAAAGGCAACTTTTGCCATACATGTCTGACAATGCAAGGTTTTCTTACAATCATCTGAACGGACAATTTACCTTTTGCTAACAGTTTTTCATTGTCAGTATATTGCCATAACATTGTCAGATCTGCCAACGTTGTAAGATCTGAAAACCTTGTCAGATCTTATACTACACATGGCTTAAGAGTTTGACACAGAAACACGTATATTCTTACGGAAAAAATTTTGCTGTGATACACTGCCAATTACGTAGTAGTAAAAAAAGACAGATTTGTAGAGATGGTTGAGTTGTATTGAACTATTATTTCTACTACTAAAATATACAAAGATGTACCATCTGACTTACGTCATTTCGTACAGCTGTTAATAAAAACCCGGTTTCCATTTTTGTTTTGATTTCTCTGTTCTATTTGGTTTTTTTATTTACATATTTTATTTATATTTTTTATCGAGAAGTCGACGTCAACAATTTCTTTACTCTAGTTCTTATAGCATATGGACCAAATCGAGAAGAATTATTAACAAAAAAAAAATAAAATAAAATAAAATTTGTACCTCGATGAGACATCGCATGTGTGTGTAACAAAGTGTATTTTTTTGTTAATAAAAGAAGAAAAAAAATTAAATTTATCTTGCGGTTAAAGTAAATTTAGACAAAAGATAAAATAATATTTAATAATGGCTGAGAACCCAGGTGGTAATAAAGGTAAATATTGTTTTAAAATTATTTAAATAAATATTTAATTATCTAATATTTTGTTAAATTTATATGTAAAGGTAGTGGCTTACTGTCAACACAAAACATCATACAAAATCAACTGTTTCGTCGCCAAAGAAGTATTAGAGCTTTTCAAAAATCCTCCAAAACTGAGGAAGAATGTGATAAGGTACTATTTAATATTTACGATATAATTAGTATAAATGATATAATCTTTTTGTATTTGTTATTAATTTCTTAGACTTATGTTGTTATAAAATTTGGTGAAAAAGCCAAGTTACAACAATGTCGAGATGTTGAAAAGATTATTCAACAATTTGGCATACAAACCACTTTGGAAGTGGTGGATAAAAGTGAAAAATATTTATATCTAACTGCCTCTACGGATACTCTACTGCGTTTGGCCGATGAAGCGGAGCTAACAAAGCCCACAATAACGGGTAGTATGCAAAAGTTTAATTATCATGCGATCAGTGATTATCTACTGCCCGGTATGACCAATGATGATATAGTGCGTTTTTGTGAAGCACCCGTTTTGATAAAAGATGTTGTTAAGCCGGAGCTGTTGTCTCATATAAGAAGTGGTGTAGTAGAGGATATATTTCCTCTGCATGATTTAGTTAGTATTTTATTTACTTTATAATTATTTCTTATTATAACTTTTGTATTTTTAGGAATATTTAGATAAATTTGGCTTTAATTGGCGCCGCCGTACTATGCCCATTGAGGATATACGTAATTATTTTGGTTCCAGTATTGGCTTATATTTTGGTTTTACCGAATTCTATACAAAAGCCTTAATATTCCCCGTTTTATTTGGTTTATTACAATACATTTGGAGATTTAATTATTCGTTAGTTTGTGGCTTTTATGTGATATGGACTACGGTAAGTTGTTAAACAATATGGTTAAATTTACATTCAATTACGCATTTATTTTCCTAGATTTTCCTGGAATTGTGGAAACGTAAATGTGCTGGCTATTCCTATCGCTGGGGTACCATTGAAATGACTAGCTTGGATAAGCCACGCACTAACTATAAAGGTGTTCTCAAACCTGATCCCATTACTGGTAAAATGACCATGCAATATCCCATGCGTTATACTTATCTGCAAATGTATTTGGTTTCTTATCCGGTGGTGGGTTTGTGTGTTATAGCTTCTGCCTATTTTGCTTTATATCAATTTCAAATTGAGGCGGAAGTTTTGGCCGATTTTGGTCCAGATTCTTGGCTTTTATATGTACCAGTTATAGTGCAATCCATATTGATTGCTATATTTTCCTGGGCCTATGAGAAATTGGCTACTTTCTTAACGGACACCGAAAATCATCGTACCCGTTCGCAATACGATCGTCATCGTGTTAATAAATTAATGATATTTGAAATTGTTAATAATTTCTTTTCCTTGTTTTATATCGCCTTCATTTTACAAGATTTGAATCAATTGAATTATCAATTAATGATGCAGTTGTTGATATTCCAGGTGGGTTAAGATATTAATTGATTTAAAAGACATGTTTATATTGTGGTTTTTAGTTGGTTTGCATTGCCCAGGAAATTGGCATTCCCCTATTGGCTGTTGTTAGACAAAAATATGTTAAATATTTACATAAAGAAGTAGATGAGGAAAAGCGTTCCCAGGTTAGTGATGTGGCTCGCTATGAGCAGTGTTATTATGAAGCTGGTTTGGATCAATACCAATCCACTTATGAGGATTATTTACAAATGTGTATACAATTCGGTTATGTGGTTTTGTTTGCGGCCGTAGCTCCTTTTGCTGCCTTTGGTGCCTTAATTAATAATATTTGTGCCATGCACATTGATTTGTTTAAGGTAATTTCTAAATTAACAGCAGTTTATAATAATTTGTTATTAAAATATAAAAAACAAACTTGTTAATTCTTTATTTTCCAGCTTTGCAACATTTTCAAGCGACCCTTTGCTCGTCGTACCAAAAATATTGGAGCCTGGCAATCTGCCTTTGAATTGTTGTCAGTAATGGCCATCTTAAGTAATTGTGGTATTTTGTATTTACAGCCAAATGTCAGGTAAGTAGCTCAATATCTTAAAGTAAAAATGCATGTTATTGACAATGTTAAAATTAGAACTTAAGTTTAGTCATAATTAAACTAAAATTAATTTATATTTTTCATACTATGTCTTTTCTACAGAGGTTTCTTTACCAATCTCTTTCCCTCCATGCCCAATATATCTTTCGTACTTTTCGAACATTTGCTATTGGGTTTGAAATTCGTCATACACAAGGCCATACATGAAAGACCCAGATGGGTGCGTATTGCTTTATTAAAAGCTGATTATGAATCAAGTTTGGCTTATAAAAATATCAAGTAAGTTTTAAATTAAAATAAAAATTAAACACTTTATTATAAACCATGTTTTTCATTTTAGAAAATTTAAAGCCAACAATAAAATTGACTGATTACAAACCTTCAAGAACTGGAAAATCTCTAAGAATATTACTCAAAGACGTCCTATTTATTCAATATTACTAACAATCTCTTTTTATTTGCAGTGTTATTTCTCATTATATGTGGATCATATAGTTCTTTACTTACAATTAAAATTATTTACTTAATATTTTGTATTCTTTTTACTAACATATTTAAAGCTATGTTTTGTTTCTTTTAACTTAAACTTAAATAAATATTTACAGTATAGTTAGGTCTTTTACAACTAAAAACTCCTAAACATAGTAGTTTTTGTTTGTTATGGGCTTTAGCGAAATCCTTTATAGTGTTTAAAGGCCAAAAAGGCATCTATGCCATGTAAAATACCAGCTGCATAACCCATGTACTGAAAAGGAAAAAGTCAATGAATTATTATTAGCACGTCTTTATAGTATAACCAGTTTCTGATTTTTCTTCCTTTGATAACTTACATAAGCCGCTGTCATGGCTGGATAGGCCCAGAAGCCTGGTTTAATTAAAAATTGTGGATGTAGCCATACCACACATGCGAAACCCATATAACTGGAGGCACTAAAGTACATGCTGCAGGCCACGCCATTAAAAAGAGTTTCCTTTAAGATGTAAAATAAATTGTTATGGTTATGGAAACTTTCAACACTTAATTATCATTTCATTAACAACTTATATAGCAAGGAGTTATAATAGTTTTCCAAAGACAGAAAGTTTGTCATAGTATAATAATTGAACTATTGAAAAGCAGCGAAAAGAAAAATCCAAGATTTAAACTTGTATATATGGACAAGAATATTAACCAATCTACTTATTAATATTTTAATTAGCCCCGAGATTAGTCTATTGACTAATCCGTAATCTAAGACTGAACATTTGACAAGTCTAGGGACTGGTATACTTATTAGTCTATGGACTAGTCTAGCGACTAGTCTATAGATTATTCCGTTTACCAGTTTATGGTTTTGTCTATAAACAAGTTCTAGGACTAGTCTAAAGGCTAGTCTTTGTATAATTTATTGTTCATTCCATTGATATATTTTTGAATATTCTATTATGTGTTCCCTGGACTAGTTTATTGATAAGTCTATAGACTAGTCTAATAAATGGTCTAAGCTATTGGCGCTCTATTTTCTTAAATTTAATGTTAATTCATAAATCACTACCCCTTGATCTACTTACAAATAACGATTGACGTATCAACCCATACGACTTATCTGAAAAGCAATAACAAATCATCAAAATTGCCGTTGTGGTAAAACAATAAGCCGTTGTAGTTAAAAAACTAGTCAAAGCTTGGCCAATGGTATCCGCCGCCGGTACGCCGTAATTAATCAAAAGGCCTTCACACAACGAGGCCAAACCTAATTGTAGAACTTTTAATAAACCAGCTCGCGAAGTAACAAAACCGAAATTTATACAAGTACAAACACGACAACAGCAAATTTTAATGCCAAAATTTTGACTCATACCGCGAACACCAAAAGAAGCCATTTTTTAATGAAATATTTAAATTCTTTTAAAAATTTGTACAACTTCCTGTTAAACGATCCTTTATTTTCTATTTGAAGATTACAACTGAATGCAGATGATTTTCAAAACAAAGACACACTCCTCTTAGGCTGTTGCATATAAATTTTTAAAAATAGATTTCTTGCATGGAAAACAAGAAGAGACCTCCCTTGAATTTGTTTTTTACGTTACATACTATTATTGTGAAGATCGATAAAAATAGTTTACGGAATGTGTTTTTGAATATAAGATTGTTTAACATACATACATATGGTGTCAAGTGAGAAGGAAGCAGCAAGATCAGTAAGTACATATGTGTAACAAAACATATTTACCAATTTTATATTACATAGCTTAAATTAGTTAATGCATACCTTTAGGCGTTTTGTTTCATGATCAATTGCCTAAAACTACTTTTAGAAAATGCTGGATTTGTAACAAAATTTTGAAATTCTGCTTCACTCTGAACCATTGTGCAGAAAAATGTTATTCATTCTAATAACGGATAAAACTTAAATAATCTTTTCATCCCTTTAATAAAACACGCGCATTTTTGCTACTAAGTACAACTTTACATACTCGTTAATTAATTGAATAAAAAGTTCATTATTTATTTTAAAATTGTTGCATTGTATTTGATAATGGGAAATTTTTGTTATGGGAAAATTGCTGAAATTATCGTTATTTTTTTTATGAAATTTATTGCACACACGAAATAGTGTGATAACACCATTTAATTGTCAAGCTGTATAATCCAGATTTTCGTAATTGTTTTTATTTTTTTAATGTTTAAATTGTATGATGTGTTAACTAAAATTAGCAATTATACAATTCACTAATTTATAACATGCTGCAATTTATTTTAATAAAACGTAAATTTAAAAAATGTGGCTTTTCTGGTGTTGTTAGGAAATTACAAGAGGAAGTAAATGATTTTCATAGAAGTTATCTGTGATTACTCATAAAATTATAATTAAAATAAAAGTGATCTGAGTGTAATGTCCTTTTTTGTTTATTTTACAGCCCATATATCAAAATTAGTTCAGTTCTAATTCAGTTTAGTTCAGTTCTAGTTCAGTTCTAGTTCAGTTCTAGTTCAGTTCTAGTTCAGTTCTAGTTCAGTTCTAGTTCAGTTCTAGTTCAGTTTAGTTCAGTTCTAGTTCAGTTCTAGTTCAGTTCTAGTTCAGTTCTAGTTCAGTTCTAGTTCAGTTCTAGTTCAGTTCTAGTTCAGTTCTAGTTCAGTTCTAGTTCAGTTCTAGTTCAGTTCTAGTTCAGTTCTAGTTCAGTTCTAGTTCAGTTCTAGTTCAGTTCTAGTTCAGTTCTAGTTCAGTTCTAGTTCAGTTCTAGTTCAGTTCTAGTTCAGTTCTAGTTCAGTTCTAGTTCAGTTCTAGTTCAGTTCTAGTTCAGTTCTAGTTCAGTTCTAGTTCAGTTCTAGTTCAGTACTAGTTCAGTACTAGTTCAGTACTAGTTCAGTTCTAGTTCAGTTCTAGTTCAGTTCTAGTTCAGTTCTAGTTCAGTACTAGTTCAGTTCTAGTTCAGTTCTAGTTCAGTTCTAGTTCAGTTCTAGTTCAGTTCTAGTTCAGTTCTAGTTCAGTTCTAGTTCAGTTCTAGTTCAGTTCTAGTTCAGTTCTAGTTCAGTTCTAGTTCAGTTCTAGTTCAGTTCTAGTTCAGTTCTAGTTCAGTTCTAGTTCAGTTCTAGTTCAGTTCTAGTTCAGTTCTAGTTCAGTTCTAGTTCAGTTCTAGTTCAGTTCTAGTTCAGTTCTAGTTCAGTTCTAGTTCAGTTCTAGTCAGTTCTAGTTCAGTTCTAGTTCAGTTCTAGTTTCAGTTCTAGTTCAGTTCTAGTTCAGTTCTAGTTCAGTTCTAGTTCAGTTTAGTTCAGTTCTAGTTCAGTTCTAGTTCAGTACTAGTTCAGTTCTAGTTCAGTTTCTAGTTCAGTTCTAGTTCAGTTCTAGTTCAGTTCTAGTTCAGTTCTAGTTCAGTTCTAGTTCAGTTCTAGTTCAGTTCTAGTTCAGTTCTAGTTCAGTTCTAGTTCAGTTCTAGTTCAGTTTCTAGTTCAGTTCTAGTTCAGTTCTAGTTTCAGTTCTAGTTCAGTTCTAGTTCAGTTCTAGTTCAGTTCTAGTTCCAGTTCTAGTTCAGTTCTAGTTCAGTTCTAGTCAGTTCTAGTCATTTCTAGTTCAGTTCTAGTTCAGTTTCTAGTTCAGTTCTAGTTCAGTTCTAGTCAGTTCTAGTTCAGTTCTAGTTCAGTTCTAGTTCAGTTCTAGTTCAGTTCTAGTTCAGTTCTAGTTCAGTTCTAGTTCAGTTCTAGTTCAGTTCTAGTTCAGTTCTAGTTCAGTTCTAGTTCAGTCTAGTTCAGTCTAGTTCAGTTCTAGTTCTAGTTCAGTTCTAGTTCAGTTCTAGTTCAGTTCTAGTTCAGTTTCTAGTTTACAGTTCTGTCAGTCTAGTTCAGTTCTAGTTCAGTTCTAGTTCAGTTCTAGGTTCAGTTCTAGTTCAGTTCTAGTAGTTCTAGTTCAGTTCTAGTTCAGTTCTAGTTCAGTTCTAGTTCAGTTCTAGTTCAGTTCTAGTTCAGTTATAGTTCAGTTCTAGTTCAGTTCTAGTTCAGTTCTAGTTCAGTTCTAGTTCAGTTCTAGTTCAGTTCTAGTTCAGTTCTAGTTCAGTTCTAGTTCAGTTCTAGTTCATTCTAGTTCAGTTCTAGTTCAGTTCTAGTTCAGTTCTAGTTCAGTTCTAGTTCAGTTCTAGTTCAGTTCTAGTTCAGTTCTAGTTCAGTTCTAGTTCAGTTCTAGTTCAGTGTTCAGTTGTTCAGTTCTAGTTTAGTTCAGTTCTAGTTCAGTTCTAGTTCAGTTTGTCTAGTTCAGTTCTAGTTCAGTTCTAGTTCAGTTTCTAGTTCAGTTCTAGTTCAGTTCTAGTTCAGTTCTAGTTCAGTTCTAGTTTCAGTTCTAGTTCAGTTCTAGTTCAGTTTCTAGTTCATTCTAGTTTCATTTCTTCTTTCATTTTTCTAGTTCTAGTTCTAGTTCTGTTCTAGTTCAGTTCTAGTTCAGTTCTAGTTCAGTTCTAGTTCAGTTCTAGTTCAGTTCTAGTTCAGTTCTAGTTCAGTTCTAGTTCAGTTCTAGTTCAGTTCTAGTTCAGTTCTAGTTCAGTTCTAGTTCAGTTCTAGTTCAGTTCTAGTTCAGTTCTAGTTCAGTTCTAGTTCAGTTCTAGTTCAGTTCTAGTTCAGTTCTAGTTCAGTTCTAGTTCAGTTCTAGTTCAGTTCTAGTTCAGTTCTAGTTCAGTTCTAGTTCAGTTCTAGTTCAGTTCTAGTTCAGTTCTAGTTCAGTTCTAGTTCAGTTCTAGTTCAGTTCTAGTTCAGTTCTAGTTCAGTTCTAGTTCAGTTCTAGTTCAGTTCTAGTTCAGTTCTAGTTCAGTTCTAGTTCAGTTCTAGTTCAGTTCTAGTTCAGTTCATATTTAAAAAACGTTATTCAGTCCATCTGCGTCACATAATTAATCAGTGTTAAACAAATTTATTTCATGTCAATAATGTGTCAAGTTTTTTTGTCACACTCTTATAAATTTTAATTTTATTTCAAATACAAAATAATTATTCCCTTTTTTAATAATTTATTGAATCATATTTAATATTCACATCATTAAATTATATACAAAGTGAAGGAACAAAAAATTATTATAAAATACAGTTAGTAAAGTAGTTAAATCAAAATATGTACTTTCATATAGGGTTGAAATTATTTAAACAGAAAATTAAATAATAACATGCCAACGGGCATAACATGCATGCAATTTAATTGCATAAAAGATAAATTACAAAATATTACATTATTATTTTGTTAATTCGTAATAGTTGTAGGAAAACTTAAGTGTTAGAAGTAGATAGTGCGACCTTGAGTTTTACAGCGATAATTTATTGGGAATAAAACTAACGAATGTGTTATTTTCTTCTAAAAAATATTATAAATCTTAATTTGATATTTATTATTCAATTCAATATGAGGTATTTAGTAATTGCTAACCCTGCAAGAAATTTAAAATTAAACGGAAACCCTGTAGTGTTGTCAAGTAGGCAGAGTTGCTGAAATAAGTAGTATGTAGACATTTGCTTATTTTTTCGAGAACGTAACGGTTTTTAACGAGGTAATTTAATTTTTAGAATTTGATGCTCTAAAAAGAAAAGTCTCCAAAATAAATTTATTTATTTTGAATCATTCAATTTGAATTACTTGAACGATTTTATTTTTTAACGACTTGACAATCCTAAAAACTTCCTAATAATCAAAATAAAAACATAATATAATTCCATGTAATTTATAAATCCTTATAACTTCCTACACATGCCACTGCCAGATTTATCAAACCAAACTACCAAGATTATAAGCTTAGCATTCTTTACAATCACCACAGTGAGTTAAAAATACCATTAAATTCTAATTTATTTCAATTCAAAATTAACTTTTAACCAACAATTATTAGCTTCTTAAATTTGTTTGCATTATAATAATAAATGCTCAAAAAGATTCGTCTTGCATTGCTGGTTGGCATGTTAATGAGGAACTTTCCAATCATTTACTATTGATCAGTACGGGATTAGTACCAGACATAATAATGTTAATAAGTATCGGACTAGGTATGATGTTTAAAACCTCAAATATAGGAGCAGATCCTGGGGTAAGTCCACAAAGTTTTATAGATTTTTTCTTAGATTATAAGAGCTTCTTCTTTTCAGACTATTATTTATAATTTTATTATTGGTTTCTTAAGTATTTGTGCCTTATTTCCTTTTTTTGGTATCGAGGATTGTAAAAGTGATAATTTGGGGAAAATTAAGTCGGTTGGTATATATGCAACACTAGCTGGAATTTTGCATATAGCAAATGGAGTTGTTTGTTTAACATTTTTAGCTTCAGAGGAGAGGTAACCTTCAAACATTGTTAATTGCATCTGATATTATGAATTGGAATACATATATATATGCTGGATTATAGGAAATAATATAATAGTATATAGACTAGAACACTAGTCTTTAACACTATATTAGTTATTTATATATTTATTAAATTTTGGACCTCTATTGTCAAGACTTTAAATTCTAATTTAGATTAGACATTACACTGTATACTTCACTTTATACTAGCCTTTAGAATGGATTCGATTTTGAACTAAACTATAAACTATAATAGACTTCTGACTAGGCTAAACTATAGATTAGACTATATAGACTTGACTATAAACTATACTATAGACAACACTACGGACAAGACTTTTAACTTTAAACTAGAATATAGACTAAACCATAGACCCGACTTTAAACTAGAATAACCTTTACATAAAGTATATTAACAAATATATCAAACTGCTTTTTCTCTTGTTTACAGATCTGAACCAGATTCGCAACCTTCAACTTCCACTTCAAAACCCAGTAAAAATACTGAACCAAAACCTTCTACTTCTAAAGTATCCTCTAAAAAATAATGAATGTATTTTCTTTACAAAGTTCTTACACATTATCGTTTGTTGTTATTTACAATTTACCATTTATATAAGTCAAAGCTAATTTATGTTGCTGTGGAATTTAAAAAGAAAAAAACTTAAATAAACGTACATACATACATATGTAAATAATTTCATTAAATTATAGCGAACATGATGCTTTTGTACATAAACTAGAGAAAGTTATGATTATTTGCTGTCAACTGCTAGACTTCTTGCGTATTTTAAATACGTCACTTGAAAGTGGTACAATAATTGGTAAAGGTAATATGTATAACCAGTTTGTAAACTAAGTTCTTATCTCAATAGAATGCTAAAACAGTTTAAAGAAAATTACATTATAAAACTCAATTTGAAGATACTTTAGTATTCAAAACTTTTTTATTCAAAATAAGCTTTCGATGATTTTTTAATTCTGCTAATCAAATATACATATGTAAATGTGGTCCTCAAATTAAAAAAACAGAATGTTCTTTTATTTAAAACCTGCCTCTTTATTTAAATTTTATTCAATACTTAAAAGCAATTTAATTAATGTAATCATAATTATTATCATCATAATTATTTATTTTCAATATTTTGTTGTTGTTTTTATTATTGCTGCAATAATAATTACAATTATTGATTTGTAATAAATAAGTTGAAATTACAACTGCTTAGTTTTTGATACCAGTTTAAGGTATGTAAGTGTTATGAAGTTAGTACTTGTTTTTTTCATATAATTTTAGTAATTTTATCAAAATTTCAATCTTTATACAATAAAATTGTTTTTTGTTCAAAATAATTTTCTAAAACACAATTGAACGCTTCGTTGGCAATTGCGTCTTATGATGCAATTCTGTGAAGAAACAGAGTCTTAAAGGGATAAAATCATTATCTTTTTACAGATATTCGCAAAACTTTATACTGCACTATATATTGGACCATAGATTAGACAGGATTTTAGAATCGACAAGACTATAGAGTAGACTAAAATAAAGACTAGACTAAACTAGACTATAGACTAGACTATAGACTAGACTATAGACTAGACTATAGACTAGACTATAGACTAGACTATAGACTAGACTATAGACTAGACTATAGACTAGACTATAGACTAGACTATAGACTAGTCCATAGTCTAGACTAGAACTAATAGACTAGACTATAGACTAGACTATAGACTAGACTATAGACTAGACTATAGACTAGACTATAGACTAGACTACAGACTAGACTATAGACTAGACTATAGACTAGACTATAGACTAGACTATAGACTAGAGTATAGACTAGACTATAGACTAGACTATAGACTAGACTATAGACTAGACTATAGACTAGAATATAGACTAGAATATAGACTAGAATATAGACTAGACTATAGACTAGACTATAGACTAGACTATAGACTAGACTATAGACTAGACTAGACTAGACTAGACTATAGACTGACTATAGACTAGACTAGACTAGACTAGACTAGACTAGACTGACTAGACTATAGACTAGACCTATCAGACTAGACTAGAGACTAGACTAATAGACTATACCTATAGACTAGACTAATAGAACACTAGACTATAGGCTAGACTATAGACTAGACTATAGACTAGAACTATAGACGAGACATAAGGCTAGACTATAGACTGAACTTAGAGAACATAGACTATAGACTAGACTATAGACTAGACTATAGACTAGACTATAGGCTAGACTATAGACTAGACTATAGACTAGACTATAGACTAGACTATAGACTAGACTATAGACTAGACTATAGACTAGATTATAGACTAGACTATAGACTAGACTATAGACTAGACTATAGACTAGACTATAGACTAGACTATAGACTAGACTATAGACTAGACTATAGACTAGACTATAGACTAGACTATAGACTAAACTATAGACTAGACTAGACTATAGACTAAACTATAGACTAGACTAGACTATAGACTAAACTATAGACTATAGACTAGACTATAGGCTAGACTATAGACTAGACTATAGACTAGACTATAGACTAGACTATAGACTAGACTATAGACTAGACTATAGACTAGACTATAGACTAGACTATAGACTAGACTATAGACTAGACTATAGATTAGACTATAGACTAGACTATAGACTAGACTATAGACTAGACTATAGACTAGACTATAGACTAGACTATAGACTAGACTAGACTATAGACTAGACTATAGACTAGACTATAGACTAGACTATAGACTAGACTATAGACTAGACTATAGACTAGACTATAGACTAGACTATAGACTAGACTATAGACTAGACTATAGACTAGACTATAGACTAGACTATAGACTAGACTATAGACTAGACTATAGACTAGACTATAGACTAGACTATAGACTAGACTATAGACTAGACTATAGACTAGACTATAGACTAGACTATAGACTAGACTATAGACTAGACTATAGACTAGACTATAGACTAGACTATAGACTAGACTATAGACTAGACTATAGACTAGACTATAGACTAGACTATAGACTAGACTATAGACTAGACTATAGACTAGACTATAGACTAGACTATAGACTAGACTATAGACTAGACTATAGACTAGACTATAGACTAGACTATAGACTAGACTATAGACTAGACTATAGACTAGACTATAGACTAGACTATAGACTAGACTATAGACTAGACTATAGACTAGACTATAGACTAGACTATAGACTAGACTATAGACTAGACTATAGACTAGACTATAGACTAGACTATAGACTAGACTATAGACTAGACTATAGACTAGACTATAGACTAGACTATAGACTAGACTATAGACTAGACTATAGACTAGACTATAGACTAGACTATAGACTAGACTATAGACTAGACTATAGACTAGACTATAGACTAGACTATAGACTAGACTATAGACTAGACTATAGACTAGACTATAGACTAGACTATAGACTAGACTAGACTAGACTATAGACTAGACTATAGACTAGACTATAGACTAGACTATAGACTAGACTATAGACTAGACTATAGACTAGACTATAGACTAGACTATAGACTAGACTATAGACTAGACTATAGACTAGACTATAGACTAGACTATAGACTAGACTATAGACTAGACTATAGACTAGACTATAGACTAGACTATAGACTAGACTATAGACTAGACTATAGACTAGACTATAGACTATAGACTAGACTATAGACTAGACTATAGACTAGACTATAGACTAGACTATAGACTAGACTATAGACTAGACTATAGACTAGACTATAGACTAGACTATAGACTAGACTATAGACTAGACTATAGACTAGACTATAGACTGGACTATAGACTAGACTATAGACTAGACTATAGACTAGACTATAGACTAGACTATAGACTAGACTATAGACTAGACTATAGACTGGACTATAGACTATGTATACACTAATTACAGAGTCTACCGTGAATTCTTAATTTTTATAGAATGGCTTAGAATATATACAATGAATTAATACTTTTACAAATCTGTAACATGAATCTACCACAACTTATTATAAGAAACCAACAACATGATTCTTGTTTTTTTATAATTTTTATTCTGTTGTTGAATATCTTTTATTTAAATAAATAACAAAATTATTTAATATTTATAAAACTGCAAAATATTCTAGAAGAGACAGTCAAATGCATCCATCTTAACGTCAATGAAGCTTCCGTACCGTCTTATTGTTCTATAACTGTTTCTAATTCTAATTACGTCGACAAGTATTTGTTTGCATTTAAATTTATTTATTATTGTGCCGGTAAAATTACAAATATTTTGTGGATAATTTTATAGCAATTTTTTTCTTCTTCAATTATATTTCTATCGATCTAAACAGCGATCGTATTTAATCAGGCATATAATGACAGATCATTAGTCGAATAGTCAGTCATTTTACTACTTTAAGCCGGTCAATAATCTTTATTTTTTATTTATTTATACATCTTTTTTAATTTATTCAATATTTGTAGTTTTTAACGTCATCATTATGATGTTTAACATTTTAATGATTGTAACTTTTCGATATTACAAAATAAATATGCAGTATTTATAAATACAAAAAAAAAACTAAAATATAAAAATAACTGCATAATAAGATTACGATTACATAGTTTTATTATTTTTTTTTTTTGTAAAACTATTGTTTTACAATAATAATTTATTTAAATATTACAACATACTAACTGAATAAATACTTTAGATAATTATTTAAGAAAATGTAGATAAACCTATTAATATCATATAATATAATATTTAAGCTGTTTGTTAGAGATGCATGTTCAAATTACAGAGAAGATTATTTGTTAAACATGTTTTTAAATACCTGACGAATCAATGAATGACTTGACTGTTTTGTTTTGTTGTTTTTATAATTGTAATATTTTAATTTATTATTGTTGTTATTATTTGTTTAAACATGGAAATTATTATTACAGTATATAGGAGATGAGATTAGGAAAATACCACAAGAAAGAAAACGGACAAATTAAATGATTAACTCACGATTTTTACACGTGATTTTATGACATTTGATTAAAACTTTTATAGTCTTTAAGCTAAAGATAATAAAGAGACTAAACGTTTTGAATACATTTTAAGGGATCTATGGTTGTAAAGAAAATTTTTATGGGATGTCCAAGAAAAGTTTATTTTTAAAGTTATTCATCAAATTTGTAAAGTCGCTTTTAAACCAGAATGTAGTCAATGCTACAGACTAGATTACAGTTGAAAAAATTAAACTAAACTATAGTCAAGACATTAGACTATAATATAGTTTAGCCAATACTTTAGACTAAACTCTCATATGTAAATAAGACTATAGTCTAGTCCATTGCCTTTATTATAATCTAGTCACAAGACTATAGCTCAGAATGAAGTAAAGACTACATATTATACTAGAATATATGCAAGGTTATAGACTAGACTGTAGTCAAGACTATATACTTGAAAAATTTATTGTCAAGACTAGGCTACACTATGGTAAACACCATAGACTAGAATATAGCCATGACTATAGAATGGACTATAGTCAATACTATAAAGTAGACTGTAATCAATACTATAGCCAAGACTATAGTCTAGACTATATTCAAAGCTATAGCCAAGACTATAGGCTAGACTATAGCCAGATTATAGACTAGAGTATAGAATATACTACAACCAACATTATAGACTAGACTATATTATAGTCAATATGCTAGACTAAAGTCAAGACTATAGGCTAGACTATAGTCTATATTCAAGACTACGAACTAGACTGTAGTCAAGATTATAGTATAGTCTATAGTGAAGACTATAGCCAAGACTATACAATAAACTATAGCCAAGATTATAGACTAGACTATAATCCAGACTATAGACTAGACTAGACTATAGTCTATATTCAAGAACATAAACTAGACTAAACTATAGTCTACACTCATGACTATAAACTAGACTATAGTCTATATCAAGACTTTAAACTAGTCAAGACTATAGCCTATATATAATCTTGATTATAGTCTAGACTATCGTCTTAGATTATAGACTAGACTATATTCAAGACTGTAGACTAGACTATAGGCAAGACCATAGTCTAGACTATAGCCAAGATTATAGACTAGAGTATAGACTAGACTATAGTAAATACTATAGACTATAGTCAGGACTATAGCCAGACTATAGTCTAGACTATAGACAGTGCAATAGACTCGAGTATAGTTAAGAATATAGACTAGACTATAGTCAATAGATAAGATTATAGATTAGACTATAGTCAAGACTATAGATTAATTTATAGTCAAGACTATAGACTAGACTATGGTCAAGATTATACATAGACTAGACTATAGTTTAATCTATAGTCTTGACAAAAGTCTAGTCTATAGTCTTGACAAAAGTCTAGTCTATAGTCTTGACTATAGTCTAGTCCATAGTCTAGATTAGTCTATAGACAAGACTATAGGTTATAATGTAGTGGAGTTCTGACTGTAATCTTTATAGTCTAGACTACAGCCTAGTCTACAGTATTGACTATAGTCTAGTCTATAGTCTTAACTATAGTCTAGTCTGAATTCTTTCCTATAGTCTTGATAATAGAGTAGTCAAGCCAACAGACTTGAATATATACTAGATTACAGTCTCATCTTTACGACTATATACTGGTCAATTGTCACAGCTATTAATAAGTCTATGGTTAAGGTTATAGTCTGGTCCTTATTCTGTTCTATAATCTTGATTATAGTAGAATCTGTCTAGTCTATTCTATTTAATAATGTCGACTGTAGTTTAAAAAATAAACGATATGAACATAATAACAATTTGAGCATATTTTTGGTTTCCGCTCTATATGTACATATTTATGTATTACTTTCTAATCTCTACACCCAAAAAATAATATTAATCATATCACAAACAATGTTGTCTTCTAAAGAAATTCTACCATAAATTTAAAAGTCTTATATATTGACAACATTTAAATTGTATGAGTATTTTAACTTTTTTTAAAAATAACCTAAAATAAGAGAGGAAAAATATAACAAAAACAAAATATTTATAAACAAATTGAATACGAAAAAAAACATAAAATAAGTATAAAAAAACGAGAAATTTTCAAAAAATAAATAAACAGCCAAATATATTTTGTGTATACTAAAATCTTTTTTATAATAGTACAGTACATTGTTAAAACTACGTGAAGACGTAATAGAATTTATTTAAAAGAATTTTTATTAATTAAATACATATAAAAAAGGCTGCTGTAATTTTCCAATAATTCCTGAAAATAATTTATTAAATAATTACTAAATAAATAAATAAAAAAACAATATAATTAAACTAATAAGTCAGGAAATAGTGCATTTTTATTTAATAAATTAAATAACTTTAATTTAAGAAATTAATTACGGAATTTTGAAAATAAGAAAATTTATCGGAAAAATATAAAAAAGTGACGTCTGTAGAACAAATATAAGTGTATTGCTCGATAAAAAAATATGTATATATTGAGTGATGAGCGTGTGTAATTTGAAAATAATAAACAAGATTGTTTTGAAAAAAAAAGAAAAGAATTTTTGCAAAACGCTTTTAAATATATAAAGAATTAATGAAATTAATATTGTTACAATTGTTTTTTATTTAAATAAAAAAGCAATGCCACAACGACACCTCGTTGTGTTGGAAATATTTCGGTTTTTTAATTAATTTATCATTAAAAACGTGAGACACATTTTTAAGGAGTTTATATTAAAAAAAAAAAAAGAATTAAAATTATATTAAAAAGAAACAGTGAAGAACAGTAAAGAACGTGAATTTTGCCGCAATTATTTACATAAATCGATATTCATGAAAGGTATTTGTATCCGCACGCCAAAATATTGTACACGTTTTTTTTTTAAACAAAATTTTTATTCCAAACAAAAAGTTAATTTTATATTTCAAGTGTTTTATTTCTTTTCCTTAAAATTTTATTGTTCTTTGAAATCGATCAAAGTGAGTAACAATGATTAATTTAGCGTTTTTTTTTTTTTTTTGTTTATTTTAAATAAGCGATTTTTTATTAAAGCAGTGATTGACTCTCTTAGCCAATAGGGGACGAAAGAAAATTTTATAAAAATACATGTAAATTCGAAATAGGAGTTAGAATATATGAATTTTCTTTGTGCTAACCATTGTCTTAAAATTATTATTTAATTTCTAACTCTATTTTATTAAATAATTTAATTGCTATTAAAAATACTTAGTATAAATAAAAATTTTAGAAATATATATTTAAACATCTTTTAAAACATCATTATTATTATTTTAATCAGATTTTATTGGAGACACGAACTTTTGATTAATTCCGCAAAAAAATTTAAATAAATATACAGTCTATGATGACTAATTAAAATTATGGAAAAACACAGTTTTAAATTAAGTTGTTACTAATATTTGATGTAATACTAGTTAAGGATTCATTCATGTGAAGTTTTTATAGTAAAAAAATGTGATTTATTTGCAAAGAGTTTTAAGCGGAAAGGCAATGAACCTGTCAACAAGGTGTTTTTAATAAGATTTTATTGCTTAACTAAAGATAAGGGAACTAATACTGAACTAGTGCTGTAACTGGTTCTATGGGGGCGTAAAAGTCAATTCTACTTCAAACTTTTTACATAAAAGTTTACTCTAACTTCGATAAGAAGATGTTAGAGTAAACGGGTCAATAAATAACTTTATGACATTCTATAGCGGGGCTCTAAACCTATCAAAATACGTTCGTTAATGTAATAGAAATTATTATTATTTTTAGAATAACAGTGGAAAATTCAAAACTAAAATCGGTATCAAGTTTTGTCTATTTTGTCTTTATTGATCAATTTTATTCAGATCTATTAATCACTTGTATTCATTCCTTTAAAATTAATATTTATTTGACATTTTAATTGTTTAATTGTAATTTATGTCAAATGCTTGATTCATCTATTTATTTAATTTGCTTAACGTTTGACACTTGAGCTTGAAATCTTCACATACAGTCAGTGTAAAAAGTGTGTTGCAATAAAAATTACAGAAATGTTAAATAAAAATAATGTTTTTGTGTTATTTGAAAAGTTTCAGGTCTACAATCGGTTATCGATTAATCGGTAGATATTCTGCCGTTTAAGCTGGAGGTCCACACCACGCGTTTTACGTTTCTTCGCATTCTACGCGTCTGCCAAAAAAGTAGAATCAGTGTTGTTGTGTGCTACAAGTTACAAGCACAAAAGCGTAGGATGCCTTGACGCGTAGAATGATTAAAGTAGATCTACTTTCTACTTTTGTAAGCGTCATAAGCGGCGCACGAACATGTCAGCTGATTTTGATGCGTGAGAAGGTATGAAAAACACGCAATGCTTTGACGCGTATTGTGGACCTCCAGCTTTAAAATAATTTTTGTATGTCCATGGCATGTACCATGTTTATTTTTTTTTTAAACAACATGGTCCATAGTCCACACCATTATATAGGAACATGTGGCGGATCATGTATCCCCTTATGAATTTTACAAAAATCTTCTATAAATTGCTACTCTTACTATAAAAGGGGACTTTTTGGTACTTTTTCGTTTTTCAGAAGGCACTTTTTGAATTTTCTATAATATTGAACCTAGAAGCATGAAATTAAGCATATAGAGCCCGGATTAAGAAAGATCCTATAAAAGGGGACTTTTTGGTACTTTTTTGTTCATCAAAGGTACTTTTTGAATTTTTGTATAATATGTGTTGGTCTACACAGGGAAACTTTATTTGGAAAACTTTTAATTTTGTGTGTGAGAGAAAGAGAAAGAAATATCAACCATCTCTTTCTCTCACACACAAAATCTAAAGTTTCCCATAAAAAGTTTCGCTGTTTGAACCAGCACTACTGAACCAACATAAATTTAAACAATAACATAAGTTAAAGCAAATCTGTAGGAAAGGATTTTTGGTACTTTTTCGTACTATGACTAGTACTTTTTGGTTTTTTTGCAGCACATTATGATAAGGGAAATATAAGATTCGGCACAGCCGAATATAGAACTCTTACTCGTTAAAATATTCAATTTATTTATTTAAACATTAAACAAACTAAATATAATTTTATTTCACTAAATATGTATCACTTCTCTCTCGCATTTGCTAAATTAAAGCGCGCAAAATATTCCTCTGTATAACTTAAATTTGAAACTTTATGAAACCAACTTTCGAATTAAAAAAATCGTTTTTTTCTTTCATAACCTGTATAATACTTGCTTTATTGAATTTATTATTTATTTATAGCTTTTATCAATTATTTATTTAAATAAGTTCCTAACATTTTATTGAATTTTTTAATTTTTATAAGATGTTTTTATTTAATTAATTGGCCATACAAAATGGTATAATTAAAATTGATAAACGAGTACAAAACTTTATACAATGTATAAAAAATTTATAATTTGTTAAAAAAAGTGAATGGTAACTAAAGAAAACAAACTTTCATTTAATAAAATTCCTACCTAAATACAAAAATTGATTTTAAATAAGTTGGTAATATTAAAGTAATGAAGTGTTCTCATTATTATCACCGACGACTGTAGTGTTTCTAATTAAATCAGAACATATGCTTGTTTCCATTTTATTACACTTTATGTCATTATGGCCTGAAGTGACAGATAAAACGTTTTAATTTTTTTTTTAATTAAAAAAGCGAAAAAATCTTTACATTTGTTTTATTTATTCCACTTAAAACCTTAATTAAATAAAAGAAGATTATAGTGTTTGTTGTAAGAAAACAGTGGTAAATTTACCACTTTATTATAATTAAAATGTTGATGGAGTATTTAACCCATAAATTTAATTTATAAAAAGTTTTAATTATTAATAGCTACTTGTTTTATGATATAATTTACTTTGTATTATCTATTATACAGTGGGATAGGAGGAGTAGGTTTTTCTTTGTTTGAATCTGTTTAAATTATCTCAATTGAAAATTGTATGTATAACAGTTTTCTTTGTAGAAATTGTATATATCTTCATAACAGCTTTATATATAGAATGTTATCTGTATAATTGTGTTTTCTATAGAAAATAGTACATTTTTATAACAGTTGTTTATAGAAAATTTATTTGTATAACAATTTTCTTCATAAAAATTTTTCTGTATAACAATATTCTTCATTAAAATAAATTTATAACACTTTTTAAATAGAAAATTGTCTGTATAACAGTTTCTTTAGGGAAAATTATCTGTATAATAGTTTTCTTTATTTTTTCTATTAAAAGTTAGATAAAAATGTTGTATAACAGTTTCCTTTCTAAAGACAATTTTATGTATAACAGAACTTTAATAGTGTTCCTTATAGAAAACTGTCTTTACTACAGGTTTTTTTATAAAAATGTTTCTGTATAACAGTTTCTGTACAGAAAATTATTTGATAACATAAAATTTTCTGAACAATAATAGTTTTTTTTTTTATAAAAAAATGTGTATAACAGTGTTTTATATATAAAATGATTGATTGTTGGCTTTATCTGTGGAAAATTATTTGTATAACAGTTTTTAATTGAAAATTAGAAGTGCAAGTCTATTTTCAATATTAATGGTGAATGAAAGTTGTTAGTATAACAGTTTTTCTATAAATTATCCGAACAAAAGTTTTCTCCAAAAAAAATTGTTTGTATAACAGTTTCTATATAGAGAATTATCTTAATAACAGTTTTGTCTATTAAATAGTTTAACTATAAAAGTTTTCTCTCAAGATAATAATTTTAACATAAAATGTTTACGTATAACAGTTTTGTCATATATTTTTTGTATAACAGTTTTCTCTATAAAAGTTAAAAGTTTTCTATCATGAAAACTATCTGTAAAAAAGTATGAACAAATATTTATGTTTATCGAATAAAATACATACATAGATAGTCTAACCACTGTGCAATTTAATACTTTCTTTAAAACAGTGCTTCAAGTTTATCAAAATAAATAAAACAAGTTGCTGTGTTTTTACTGTTGTTATTGTAGTCGTTATAATTTCGTATTAAACAATTTAGAACAGATTTAAAATTCTTCTTGAGAAAACAACAAGAATAATTCCAACATTTTTTTTTTTAATTTTTGTTTTGCAAAATATAATGAATTTGATGACAATTAAATTTGATTTATTAGTGAAATATAAAATATGATGTCGCAGGCATTTAAAAGTTTAAATATTTTTTTGTGTATTTTTGCGAGGTAAAATAAATAAAATAAAATATGTTTGAACAAAATGCACAACAAAAGAAAACCTTAAAAAATAATGTAGAAAAATGTAAACAGAACATTTAATTCAATGTTTCAGATGCGTTTTTTTAAACCTGTACCATAATAAAATGCACATTTATTATGAGACGTGTGACATTTTAATTTTATATATTTTATATGCTTTTTTTGTGTTCTTTGTACATTTTTTATAATTATTCTTTACACTATTTTAAAATGATGCTAAGGAGAGAGCTTAATAAGTTCTTAAATGTAAATAAACACAATATTATTGTTATATGAACAATAAAATAATGTACATTAGTAACAATAATAATGCTGTGGCACATTCCATAAAAGACCCTAAACAATTGAGGGTAACAGCGAATATTATTTGCCCTTCATTTCCATGTACTTTAATAAAATATTTAACACTTTGGACCAAATTTTTGTTGCAACCCTAGTAAACACACTTATTATTGTATAATTTTTGTTAACATTGCACATTTGTAACATCCCAGCAATTCCGGGTGATAGTCTCTATCAAGTGATTTGAACCACCATTTACAGTCACCACTAGTTACAGATTTGCATAGTTAACCCGCAAGTAACGAAATTGGAGTTTCATTTTCA